TTTTTGCAAAAAATGACATTGAGATTTTCTTAGAAATTTATTGAATTTGTAGAACAATTTGTAAATTACTGTCATCTTCACAGTCTTTTCTCATTCATGACTCGAATATTATACATTTATTTAGATCTTAAAAGTATTTACTGCAGTTTAAATTATTTATTTCACAGTTTCAGTGTAAAATGTTTGAAATCATTTGTTAAATTTCACCAATAATTTTATTATATCAATGATATTGTAAATGAGATTTTCTTTTTAATTATATTTTTTGATCATTCATTGATAGAGTATAGAGATATAATTATTTTGTGGCATTTTTTTAATGTCATGTTCTTCCTAATTTTAAAAAAATTGCAGTAATATATATATAACATAAAATATATATTTTAGCCATTGTAAATGTAAAATCCAGTGAATTTGATTATATTCACAAGGTTGTGCAGCTACCACCACTATCTATGTCCAAAACTTGCCATCACCCTAAACAGAAATTCTACACATTAAGATAATTCCCCATTCCTCCCTTCTCCGAACTCCTGTACCTCTGATCTGTTTTCTGTTTCTATAATTTTGCTTATTCTAGATATTTCATATATGTGAATCATACAGTATTTATCTTTGTGTGTGTGGCTTATTTCACTAAGCATAATGTTTTCAAGGTCCACCCATGTTATATCTTTAATAGAATTTTTTTTTCCTATTGAGTTGTATGAGTTTCTTACCTCTTTGTTAATATTAACCCCTTATCAGATATATGGTTCTCATGTATTTTCTTCCATTCTGTAAATTTTCATTTTATTGTTCGTTACCTTTGCTGTGCAGATAATTTCCAGTTTTATCTATTCCTATTTGTTTATGTTTGCCAAGATCAATGTTATAGAGTTTTTCCCTATGTTTTCTTCTGGAAGTTTTATGGCTTCAGGTCTTAAATTTAAATCTTTAATCAACTTTGAGTTAATTTTGGTGAGTAGTATATGAGAGAGGTCAAATTTTATTATTTTGCTTGATTATATCCAGTTTTTCCAATACGACTTACTGAAAAGATTATCCTTTCCTCATTGTGTACTTTTGGCAGCCTTGTCAAATATTAATTGACTATTATGCATTGACTATATATGCATGGATTTATTTCTGGGCTTTTTATTTTGTTCCATTGGTCTGTGTGTCTGTTTTTATGCCAGTACCATATTTTTCTGATTACTACAGCTTTGTAATGTAGTATGAAATCAGGAAGTGTGATGTCTCCAGATTAGTCCTTTTCTTTTCTCTAGATTGCTTTGGCTATTTGGAGTCTTTTATATTTCCATGGAAATCTTAGGATTTTGTTTCTATTTCTTTGAGAATTGCATTGGAAGTTTGATAGGGATTACATTACATTATGTTTCAGGTAATATGGACATTTCTCCAAAGAAGACATACAAATGGCCACCAGTACATGAGAAGGTGCTCAACATCACTACTCTCAAGGAAATGTAAATTAAAAATACAATAAGATATAACTTCACACCTGTTAGATGGCTATTATTAAAAAGACAAGAGCAGACAAGTGTTGGTAAGAGTGTAGAGAAAGAAAAACTTTTGCATGCTGTTTGTGGGAGTATATATTGGTGAAGCCATTTTGGAGAACAATATGAAGTTTCTTCAAAAACTTAAAAATACAACTACCATATGATTCAGCAATACCACTTTTTGGTATATATCCAATGCAAATAAAATCAGTACCTTGAAGAGATATCTGCTCCCCCATTTTAATGGTAGCATTATTCACAGCCAAGATATAGAAACAGCCAAGACATAGAAAGTACCTAATTGTCCAACCACAGATGAATGGAATAAAATTTGTAGCATGCACATGTACACATATGGGAGTACTTCGGAAAGTTCATGGAAAAATAGAATTAAACGATAGTACAAATCATTCCATGAACTTTTTGAAGTACCCTGTAGACAGGAATATTATTTAGCCATAAAAAAATAAAAAAGAGGAAATCCTGCCATTTGCAATGGCATGGATGAACCTGAAGGACATTATACTGAGTGAAATAACCAGACACAGAAAGACAAATATGCATAATCTTACTTTTATGTGGAATATAATACAGTTGAACTCATAGAAGCAAAGAATGGTGGTTGCCAGGTTCTAGGAGTAGGAGTAATCTGGAAATGCATTCTTTCACTTATAAGATGAATAAGTGCCAGGGATCTAATGTATACATGGTGATTATAGATAATAATACTGTATTGTTTACTTGTAATTTTATGAATCCTCACCACTGTATTATACAGAAATTCTATGTTTAATATTTTGAAGATATTATTTTTTTTTCTTTTTCCCCAGCAGCTGCACCATCTTACATTACCACCAACATACAGGAAGGTTCCATTTTCTTCACATACTCACCAACACTTGAATTTAAAAAAAAAAAAAGTTATACTCATCCTAGTAGGTGTAAAATGGTATCTCATTGTGGGTTTGATTTGAAAACCCTTAATGATATTGATGTGAGAATCTTTTAATATGATTATTAGCTATTTGTATATCCTCTTTGAGAAATGTCTATTTAAGTATTTTGTCCATTTTTTCACTGTATTGCTTGTCTATTTGTTGTTGAATTGTGGTAATTTATATATTCTCTAGATAATAAATCATTATTGGACATATGACTTACAAATATTTTCTCCTATTTTGTGGGTTATCTTTTCAATTTCTTCATAATGTATTTTGTTTTGCTTTGTTTTGGGAAACTCCAATTTATCCATTTTCATTTGTAGCCCATACTTTTGCTGTTATATATGAGAATTAATTGCCAAGTTGAAGGACATGAAAAATTGAAGGACATGAAAATTGACCCCTATATTTTTTAAGAGGTTTATGGTTTTAACTTCTATATTTAGGTTTTTTATCCACTTAAGTTAACTTTTTAAGTTAACTGACATGAGGTAAAGATCAAATTTAATTCATTTGCATGTGGATATCCAGTTTTCCCAGCAATATTTATTGAGGAAATTTTTTCCTCCCTGTTTAATGGACTTGGTACCCTATTGAAAATCAATTGGCTATGAATGTAAGGATTAATTTTTGAACTCTCAACTCTACTTCATCCGTATGTATATATATATTGAGCGAGAGAGATGTTGAATTCTACAAATATAATTATGGATTTGTCTATATATCTTGGCAATTCTAGCAGTTTTTCTGCATATATTTTAAACATATTGTAATATGTGAATAGGTTATTATGATTGTAAAGTCTTATGGAAGAATTGACTCTTTTGTAACTATGTAACTATAGGTCTGTGTGTGTGTGTGTATATATATATATACACACATGGATATATGTGTGTGTGTGTATATATATATATATATATATATATATATACACACACACACAGACCTATAGTTACATAGTTACAAAAGAGTCAATTCTTCCATAAGACTTTACAATCATAATAACCTATTCACATATTACAATATGTTTAAAATATATGCAGAAAAACTGCTAGAATTGCCAAGATATATAGACAAATCCATAATTATATTTGTAGAATTCAACATCTCTCTCGCTCAATAATTGAAATAACAAGCAGACAAAAAGTAGTCAGAATATCGATTGTATCAGTAACACTACCAAACACCTTGATGTAACTGACATTAATATAACACCTTTCCTAAAAAGAGTCAAATTCAATTCTTTTTAAGTGTGCAGTTGCAGAGAACGTTTATCAAAACAAAACATATTCTGAACCAAAAAACAAATATCAACATTAAGATGATTCAAATAATATAAAAGTTTTGTGAACATAATTGGATTAAATTGCAAGTCAATAACAGCAAAGTAGCTGGGAATTCCTAAATCATTGAAAACTGAATAATACAATTCTAAATGACCTATGGGTCTAGGGAGAAATCAAAGGACAAATTAGATAATATAAGAAAATATTTTAATTGAACAACAATTAAAATACATTATATAAATACTTAGGAATATACTTAAGCTTGTCCACAGAGAAAAGGTATAGCATTCACTGTCTATAGTAAAAAGGAAGAAATGCCTTTAATCATTAACCTCAGCTTATACTTGGGGAATCTAGAAAAAGAAGATCAAATGGTATCTATAAATAAACAATAGGAAGTAAATAAAGACAAAAGACAAAAAAAAAAACCAAAAAAAAAAAACAAAAAACAAATAAAGAGGTCTTCGGAGAGAAAAACGGTGCCCACGCAGTTAGATAAATTGTTGCTTAAATACACTGAAGACACCCACACATACACACAAAGAGAAAAAAATATTTAAGCATAACTTGAAATCTCACTCTTAGAATTCTGTACATTCAAGCTCTTCTCATAAATGTAATTTTAGTTCTTTAACATGAATATTGTTTTCAGTACTTACACTTCATGCTTCTCCAGAAAGGGAGGCAGCGGCATAGTGAAGGCACATGGTGCCCACGGGTTTTCATGAAACATAAAGAAAAAGGCACAAAAATGGAAAAGAAGGACTATACATTTTAAAAAACTTTACTCAGGGATGTTCTCTGAGTGATGTCCTCAGAGAAATAAGATTCATTTAGATTTTTAATTCAGAAATCAACCAACATCATTCTTATTTTACATTTGAATTTACTTCTTTTTTTCAGAGAAAGTCAAGGCATTTGCAATCAACTGAGCCCAGTTGGAATACTATCCTATTTTCCTTTACAAGACATGGAGATACACTTTATCTCTGTAGTTAAAAACTGAAAGGGCTTCCAGTGGGATGTTTTTCCCTACTGTAACAGAGTCCTCTATTCAGAAGAATAAATGTTCCACACCAATATGCAGAGAAACATGGAGATTTAAGACCAGAAGAAAGCATTCTTCAAAGTGTGTTCCTTTAGGATATGCAGGATCTTTTGACATAAAGATGATTTAGAAAGATAAGCACCTGGAGTGTCAGAATTGACTCCTTTTAGTTATACTCACACCCTTAAGAATATCAACAACATAACAAAAACAAGAGACCCTACTTTGAGGTGAAAACACGGACCACACGTTCATGAATTCGCTTAGTTCTCACACCGTAAATAATAGGGTTGAGGGCAGGTGGTATGACCACATACAGGTTGGCAACAAAAATGTGTACATAACGGGGGATTTTTTTACCAAATCGGTGAGTGAGGAAGGAGAAGAGGGAAGGTGTATAGAAAACACACATGACCCCAACATGAGAGCCACAAGTGCTCAGTGCTTTCTGACGAGCGTCTCGAGATGGGAGGCTGAAAACAGCATGTAGAATGTAAGCATAGGAGATTCCAACCAGTGCCACATCCAAAATAAGAAAAGAAGCCACAAAGAGCCCATAAATGGCATTGATGCGAATGCTAGCACAGGCCAGCTTGGCAATGCCCATGTGCTCACAGTAGGAGTGGGCAATAATTCGAGCCTCACAGAAAGGCAGACGGTGGGTTAGGTACAGAATAGGCAACATGAGCAGGATGGGGCGCATCACAATACCCACCCCAATGCCTACCAGCAATCGGGGTGTCAGGGTGGTTGTATAGTGGAGTGGTGCACAGATGGCCACGTAGCGGTCAAAGGCCATTGACAACAAAACAGCAGACTCCATCCCTGTGAAGGTGTGTATCAGAAACATCTGAGCCACACAGGCTCCAAAACCAATTTCATGCGCATCAAACCAGAAGATACCTAACATTCGAGGCACCGAGGATGTAGAGAGGGCTAGATCTACAGCTGATAAAAAGGCTAGAAAGTAGAACATGGGATCCCACAGGGTCCGATCAGACCAGATGATCAGTAGAATTGTAGCATTACCCAGAAAAGCCATCAAGTAAACAAAGCAAAAAGGCAGGGAAATCCAGCCATGGGAAGCCTCAAGTCCTGGGATGCCAGTAAGAAAAAACGTGTCTGGGTGGTAAGTGGTAGTGTTGGTGTAGAACATCTTGTCATTGAGGAGAAGAGAAGTAGCTGACCACTTCTAGAATGAAAATTAAGATTTATAAATGCTTAGTTCAAAACTTCTCCAATGTCACCTTTTTTTTTTTTTTAACTAAAAAAAATACAGGCAGGGACTAAGCATTCTTCAAGTGGAAGGGACATCAATGTTATGAAAGGCCTCCCTCTGAGGTTTTGGACAATAATATACTCATTTGCTCTAACCCCATAAGTACCCAAAATGAATTTCAAACCCACAAAGTTTACGTTTATATTGAGACCTCAGCCTCCTTTAAGACATGGCACACTTCAAACGCTTCAACAAATAGAACCATGGAAAGACAGATACTGATACCCACACACAGAACACAATATACATGAAAACATAGTTATATGTAGACATATAGAATGACAGAAAATCCAGCAAAACTCTTAAACTGATATGTTTAGTATCAGTGTTTTCAATGATACATGTTTAGAATATCAGACTCAAAATGAAGAGTTATGCTTCATTAATTCTTCCTTCTACTGTTTGCTCATATACCCCCTCAGACACACTGTATTATACCTCTGGTATGAAAATAGCTGCACAAAAATAAGGAATGTTGCAGTTGAAAATCACCTCCAGGAGAGAAATGCATCTTTTTCACAAGTACTTTGACGGGAATTAAACTAACAAAGAAGCCCAAATTCTCCACTAGTTGCCAAATTCCCAAGAATGTGCCACGGTCTCCAACAATTACACTCTTTTCTGTGTGTGTTTGTTCAGGGCTGTGGGGGCAGGATACTGGGGGCAATGAGGAGGTTTTTTGAAAGGAGGAGATTTGAGAGAAATGAAGAAAAGACAATGATGGCGAGCGATCAACATGAGGTAGAAGAAATCCATGCTCCTGAATTTACTTCACTACAGCTGCAATCTTTCTCCTTTCCCTCCCTCCCTCTCCTCCTTCCTTCATTCCTTCCTTTCTTTCTTTCCATATTTTCTTCTTTCTTTTTTTTCAGAAAGAAAATGGGAGAAAAAATAAAACTATAGGAAAAAAGAAGGAAGAGACAGAGGGATATGGAAATGAAAGGAAAGAAAACAAAAAAAGGAAAAAAAAAAAAAGATAACAGGAGGAAAAAAAAGAAAGGAATGTCCCAGCTCTAATTGATCCCAGAAAAATGTAAGAGGAAAAGGTTCAAATTTTGAGAAATATTTTATTAATGACATTTTAAAAAGAGATTCTCATAGTCAGTAAAGTCTGTTTTCAGTCTTATTTCTCTGCCTCCCTTTTTGTAATCAACTTCATAAATCTGCACTTAACTCTATTTCTCAGTTATTATTATTATTATTATTATTATTATTATTATTATTATTATTATTATTATTATTATTATTATTGAAGACCATGCCCATGCCCTAATACACAATTATCACTGGGAGTGAAGATTATCACTGATACAACAATAAATTCCCTCTGTAGATGACTATTTTAAAAATATATATATCCCAACCTAATCCAGTAAAAATCTATTTCAGTCAGGAAATCTTTCTACAACAGTATGATAGAGAATAGCAGCACAGTAAATGCAGCTGTAGCCTGTTCCTTAGCTGTCAGACAAGAGTCTCTGATTACTATTTATGTCCATCACACATTTAATGGGAAGCTTACCTCCAGCAGGGATAGGACCAGAGAGCTCTAGTACTACTTACAAAGGGGAAGAGAGTTTTATACTATCAGTACTTAGGGCCCTTGGGAGCCTATCTAAATCAAGCCCAAAGCAAATCTTCTCTGTGAACCAGGATTAACACCTGAGTCTCCTGAGAAAGATCTCATTTTCTGCACCAGGAATAGAGGGACTGATGTAGAGGCAGACACCACAACCAAGTCCACCTGCACCCAGACACACACATTGTCAATAGGAAGTCAGAAATACAAAAATAATACTATCAAAACATTTTCGTATGAGGTGAACAGAATTTCTTCTTGAGTAAATTTCCCATCTTAGTTTTATTAGATATTACAATAATGCATATTTAGGACATTAATTACCAGTATGTGTATCTCCCCTCCCCACATCCATGTCTTAGCACTCACCAATGATTTATTAAGATGTTATGGTTATCAAAAAAGACAAAGCCTCTCATGTCTTTTCCACTCAGTCCTCATCTTACTGGCTTTAAATGTAAGTTAATAAAAATTCACTTAAAACATATAAAAAATATAACAACATGAAATATATTTAGAGATGTGAATATACGGAAGACAAACAAAGATAAAGTGTGTCCTATGATTTAAATGTGTCCCCCAAAATTCATGTGTTGGAAACTTAATCCCCAATATAACATTGTTGAGAGGTAAGACCTTTGAAAGGTGATTAGGTCATTAAGGCTCTGTCCTCATGAATGGATTGATGTGCTTTTATTGGGAGTAGGTTTGTTATAAAAGTGAGTTCACTCTTGCTCTTTTGCCCTCTCTTGTCCTTTGACTTCCAACCCTGAGATGGTGCAGCATGAAGGCCCTCGCCAGACTTGGGCCCCTGATCTTGGACTCCTCAGCCTTCAGAACTGTGAGAAATAAATCTCTGGTCTTTATAAATTACCTAGTCTCAGGTATTCTGTTATAGCAGTACACACATGTACTGTGTGTGTGCAAGGACATGTTTAGGGCTGTGTGTGTACATACATGTGTGTTTAAGAAAGAATGGTGCTGTGAGTGCAGTTATAAAGTGGGAAGGGAGAAAGATGTAGAACAGGAAGAAGTTAAAATGTAAGAGAAGAGATGAACAGAGAAACGGAACAGAGAGGATAGAAAAAACACAGAGAAGTGCATCTCAATGTTGTCGAGGGTGAGATAAAAGTTGTAATACAAGTAACATCAATGATACTAGTAAGGGCTAACAACTCTTTTGGATTTACTACAAATAATGAGCAGGGCACTACACTAATTACTCTTCAAACTTAATTTATTAAAAAGAATCTATGACCATATTTATAAAATAACAAAATCAATGGTCATTGAAACATGTATTGAAGATAGAACTAGAACTGAACCTGAGTTTTGTTTAACTATTAAAATCCTGTGACTAAATACGAGACAAGGAAAATAACTGCAAAATTAGTCTAGAAATAAGTAAGAAAACAAATAGAACTACAGAGGGAAAAACAAGCAAACTCTAGGTTTGCAGCTCCTTTAGTATGCTTAAACTATAGTCTGGTCCATGAAAAACTAAATATATGTGTGATAAACCTCAGAATAAAATATATAATGAAGCTTTTTGTTACTCTACTCATTTTCTTGCTTTCTTTTAATGTGCAAAATTGATTCTTAATTCGCAGCACATTTTGTATGTTTCCAATGCTTATAATGAAATCACAGAATATCATAATATAGACATTATGATGGAATAAAAATGACTGATATTCTTGGAGATAGAGGAAAAAAAGGAAAAAGAAGGAGAAATAGGAAGGGAATGTAAAGTAACAAAGAGAGACAGATACAGAGAGGCTTGGGACACAGAGGGATAGAAATATGAAAACAACCACTTGGGCGAATTGAGGCAGATAGTGCATAAAATATGGCCAACTCTCTCTAAAATCCACCATTAAACCTACTCACATTCTACTGAAATCTACTGACATCACAAATAACATAGGAGGACTCTGATGGAATGTTATTTACCGTACAGATTGAACACTAAAACCTTAACCTTTCCCTTTCTAAACTCTATAATATACATACAGGAAGGGAGCCAAAATAAATACACCCTTCTGTCAAATATTTAAATATATGTAACATGACAAGATGTGTCTTTCCTAAAAAGGTCTGTCTCACCCATATGAGGTGTTATTGCTTTTCAATTCCCTATTTTTGTACTAGTGCTTTCTTCACACAGTCATATATCTGCCTGGTTCTGACTCCATATATGACAGGATTGAGCATTGGTGGCACTACAACATACAGATTGGCCAGGAGTATATGGATATAGTGGGGGACATTTTTGCCAAACCGATGTGTCATAAAGGAAAAGAGGGCTGGTGTGTAGAAGGCAAGGATTACACAAACATGTGAACCACATGTGCTGAGAGATTTGAGGCGGGCTTCACGGGAGGGAAGATGGAAAACAACACGGAGTATCTGAACATAAGAAAGGGAAATGGCTATGATGTCAAAAACTAGGATTGAAATTGCACACAAGCCATAGATGCTATTGACCTTGATACTGGCACAAGAAAGACGAGCAAGGCCCATGTGCTCACAGTAGGTGTGGGGAATGAAGTGATTCCCACAGAAGGGCAGTCGCAAAATGAGGAATACAAATGGAATGGTAAACATAAATTCCCTTACTAACACACCAAGACCAATCACAGAAACAACCTTGTTGGTAAGGATGGTGCTATAACGTAGTGGGTTGCAGATGGCCACATAGCGGTCATAAGCCATTGCCAAGAGGACTGCTGACTCCATGCCAGTGAAGTTGTGAATGAAAAACATCTGGGTGAGGCAGGCACCAAAGATTATTTCTCTGAGGTTAAACCAGAAGATCCCAAGCATCTTGGGGATGGTAGCTGTAGAGAGGCCCAAGTCAATGGTAGCCAACATGGCCAGGAAGTAGAACATGGGCTGGTGAAGGCTGTTTTCAGACTTGATCACCAAGAGAATAGTGAAGTTCCCTATGAGTGCAATCATGTACACAGCACAAAAGGGAA